TTCATGTTTTACACTCACAGTATGGCACACATACGGTATTTACACCGAAAGGTGTACAAAAAGTGTGTGACAGCACAGTAATGTCATTTTACACATTTATAGAATATAAGCAGGGTAATGGAGGAAATAACAATACAATCTAATTAAAACAGCCAATGTTCCTATATCTAGAAATGTAATATGATTTATTTCACAGCAGACATTTTGACCTGAAAAAGTGCAGGTGTAACTAATGTAACAAATGTCTCAATATGCTGACAGGATGCCAGCACACACAGCACCAAGTCCTCGAAACAGAAGTCACTAAATGAAATTCAGCAATCATTCATTTTATTATATACACCACCTACTTTCCCTACTGTGATGTGTACTGTGAAAATGGCTTATTATGTAGGATGTTAGAGTTTAGAGATAGATAGAGAGATAGATAAGATGCTTTCCTTTGGTGTGGGAGACCTGGGTTCAATTCCCACTGTGTCCCTGAGCAAGACACTTAACCCCTAGTTGCTCCAGAGGCGTGCGACCTCTGACATGTATAGCAATTGTAAGTCGCTTTGGATAAAAGCGTCAGCTAAATGAATAAATGGAATGTCTTTCTTCATGTTTGCTCTGAATTCTCACCACGTCACAGTTGTTTTCACTGAGGGAAACATCCAGAATGTGAAAGTGGGCACGGCTAACAGTAGGTAATGCTAAATAAATACAAAATAGATGTCCTAAATCATTCATGGACATAATACTGAGGAACATAATACTACTCTTTTTCTCCATGTACTGAAATAACTAGTACGCAAGAACACATACATATAGTACAATCTGTGGTTTATACAACTGGATATACTGTATGTATTTGCCATGATATTAATTACCAGTTAAATCAATGTGTGTAAACAGGTATTAGTTTACTGTATTCTGTGTTGTTTTTTTTACAATAAAAACATGGCCTTTGTTCAAATAGGGTGTGTCCCACTTAATATTTTTATGTTCTCATCATCACCATCAACTGTCTGTCACACAGGAATAAAGTTTAATAAATAAGAGGAAAATCTCTTGATCCCTATCTAAATATTGTGAAAGGCAAGGCAGCACTTTCTGACATTTTTCCCCCAGACATTTGTGTGATGGCATTTACGTCATCTGGCATTTCTGTTGTTTGTCAATTACCTTCATGAAGACTCATGTCTGAAAGAGTTGTTGCAGTGAAGTGGTGACAGCAAGAGGTAACAAAATGAGCAGAAATCAAAATCTAAACATGATTTTCCTGTTTGCAAGGGTTAGCTGCTGTTAGCTCTATCACTTTTCAGCTCTGTGCCACTTTATGTCAAAGTTTCTTATCCAGAAAATATCTGCAGAGAGGTTGCACAGATGTTTGTGAAACATGACCAGATGGACAGTTAAGGCATTCAGAAATGTGTACAGTGCTGAGGTTGTAATTCAAATAACATGCCCTCCCAGTTTCAGTTGAATAATGCTTTGACTATTTCAGAGGTTGTAGAGTTCAAACAGAAAGAGACAAAAAGGTAGAAGACTTATTGTCGTCACTTTGCAGTTTTCCCATAGATGAGGCAAACATTCAGACACATGTCCCCAAGAAAGCCTTAAATCTTGAATCTGTGAGCATGTCCAACATTTATAGATGAGGGTGCTCAGTCACATAACCACCTGTCAAAACTTGTCTTTTGATCTCCCTCTCTTATCTCCCTCTACTGCTCCATTTTCTGCATTATTCTGCTTTTGATTTCTTTCTTTCTTTCTTTCTTTACTTTAAGATTCTTTGGGGCGAGGAGGAGGACAAGGAGGAGGGGGGGTCTAAGATATATAATCTGTGATTGATAGCAGAGGAGACCAACATAAGAGGAGTATCAACAATTTATTTTCCATTTTAAATAAAGATGGAAAAACAGAGGAAACTGCCAAGGGTATTCATTTAATCTGAATGGAACTTCAATAAAACAAATTCCTATGACAGCTATTTCAGTTCTTCACTGAGAAGCATTCCCCAAAAAACCTTTTGTCTTCTGTCTTGACAGCCCACTACTGTCACGCTAGCCCATCTTGTCGGCTCCCTATTAAATCAATATATAATGTTACCAAGGACAAAATTTGGTAAGCCTGACCACATGAGGCATATACTTCTCCATGCCTGATGACAGATTCTGCCATTTGGTTCCTGTGTCCCTACCTTCTATACAAGGGTATTTAATTCCAACTACCACTTCACATTGATATCAGAACCAGAATCGCTGTAGCTGCCAAGTATGACAGATGTAGAGAGAATCTTGTTACTGCAGATTATATAATATATATATTCTGAATAAAAACACAACATTCTTTGCAGATACAAAAGCAATGTCTTCATAAAGTTAGATGGCATTCAAACACATAAGCTTTTACATGGCATAAGACTGCCATCTAGTGGCCAATGAGATGCTTTACTACAAAGTCAAGAATAACATTTTAAAAAATACACTACAGAATTGTATTCAAAATATCATTACAATGACATTGAATGTCAATCCATCATATTAGAAGGTAGCCACTCCAGGTTTAGTCTTCTCTTGCCACAGACTGATTACAGTACGGATGCTAAAAAAGAAGAATACAAATATCAGTAGCTATATAATAGTATTAAATCTCAGGGGATAACAATTTTGACAGTGTTTTGCACACACACAGATTTTCTTTTTGTCACTCCCTGACATTCCTCACCACAGCCATAATCAATACATGCTTAATCCAACTCTGGTGAGCTTTGTGGGGTCCACCTTTTCAAATAGGACTATGAGTCACAATAATGTGACTGTGAACTGATTTTGCCCCCTTAATGTCAGAGTAATAAAAGGAGAGATAAACACACACAGACTTAAAAAACTAGCAGCCATAGATCATTTAGGGTTTACCTTTTCCCACTTTTCAAAAGTTCAAAGGCCACATTGATTTGATCCAGCGGTAGGTTGTGGGTGATAAACTCATCAAGTTTCAGCTTTCTGTCCATGTAGCTGTCCACCAATTTAGGCACATCCTGCACACTCTTCCAACCTTTAGAAAAGGATAAGGAGTCCTCATGAACCAAAACAAGTGACTGGGTCATCTTAAGATATTATAGATTGTTGACGTTCAGAGCATATCAGATATTAGTTTTGTGATTAAGTGTTTTGCACTTTTCCTCAGCCTGCATCATTTTCTAAGTTCAATTAGTGATTTCCTTTGTTTCAAATTTGACAATCCCGATAATGGAGGCAAACTTGTTACTTTAATCATATGTGAACATATGATGAGCCTCTTGGCTTACTGAAAGAGTAACATTTTGTGTTGCGACACTGCATTCTGGTGAAGCTGGCTTGAAGATAGAATTAGCTACTTGCCTCTTCTCAGTGAATTTGTCTTTATATGCCTGAACAGTAACCCAAGAAAAACGTCTTTACTCTTTAATCTAAATTCTAGCTGAAAACATCAACTGGTAGATCCTTAGATGACCAATAATTGTTTGTCATTAATTGAGCAAAACATTTACTGACTCTTGCTTTTCTCTGGTTTATACAATTGTAAATTCAATACTAATTTTGGTTTGGGACTGTTGAACATCTTAGGCTCTGAAACCTTGTGATACATTAATTTTTATGATCTTTTAACTACTTGAAGCCATAATCAAAAAATGTTTACCAGTGTTTTAGTAAAAATATAGTCTAACATCAGATCTGAAATGCAACAGCTGACTTTACACAGGGCTTCTTATTTTAGGATGGATCTTTAATTGGATGATGATACACTTAATTTAAAGTTTCACTTATCACTCAATTTTTCCATCTTGCCAATTACCATATATTGTGTTGGAAGCATTGTGGAAGGCCATTTTTTGAAACTAAAAGGCCTGGTAACTTGTTTTAAGTTCACCTCCAAAATAAGTGCCCTTCAAAGTGCGTCCCATCAGGATCTTTTCAACCATGACGTTCATTACTTCTGTCTCTGTCCACCCAGCGATGACACAGACGCCCCAGGCATCTGTTGTAGACTCCAGCGCAGCACTCTAGGACAACACATAGCACCAGTTGTCTTAATTAATACTACTTTTTGAATAAATATATAAAATCACAGACTCCAATGAAACTAGAATACGAAAAAAAAAACAATTGCACCATTAAAAATTTATCTGTGTGCACATACTGCATTATACTGTAGACCTACTCAATAGTTAAACTGTATAGACTAGAGGATTCCTACTGTAACCATAGGACTGAATTTTCATAAAGATGAAATGTTAAAAACGTCAAAAAGATGAAACACCCTAAAGATTGAGACACCCACCATGACAGGTGGACTTCCAACACATTCCAGAGCAAAGTCTACTCCTCCCTCTGTCATATCCACCAGAACCTCCTGGATGGGCTTGCTATGATCATTGGGGTTGACACATTCAGTGGCTCCAAACACTTTGGCTTTCTCAAACTTGTCAGGGTTGATGTCAACCCCAATGATCCTTTTCGCCTCAGCAGCCTTGCAGCCCATGATGGCAGCCAGTCCGACAGCTCCAAGCCCAAACACGGCACACAAGGAATCTTTTTCAACCTGGATGCGAACAATTTCGGAGCAAGTCAACCAAGAACTGTGATCACTTCATCAACATATATAGTACATTTTGAATTTTCATAAACAAATCCATTATGCACATATTTTATTTTATATTTAACTTGTATTCTTTTGTAAGCTTGCTTTTAATTAATCAGGCTTTTAAGCCTCACGGCTTTTGATGTGTTATTTGTCACGGATTATGCAAGCATGGTTTTAAAGTGTTCTACTGTACATATCAAATATATAAATTCAACTTCACTTTAAACTCACTTCAGCTAAATATTCCATTAGCTATTTTGAAAGAAGGCATGCAATACTGCTTTGTCATTGTTTTAGTTTCAATCATAGTTTCACTTTGTTTTCAGCTAAGTGTTTACCCTTACATTATTAATCAAATTTATTTCCAGGATAAATCCCCTTGAGATGTACCATCTTGTTTTCCAGGGTGTCCTGAACAAAAACATAATAATAATAATAAAAATAATATAAGACTACGCAAACACCAAACACACTTACAATAGTAAACATTTTAAGAATACAAAAAGAAAACACACTCACTCACGTACCATGCACATGCCACAAAATCTAGACACCAACACTAATAATAAAACAGTACAGTATAAGAGTAAGTAACAATAATTAATAGGAGCAGTCTGTTGTAAGGTGAATAATAAGAGCATTTTTAAATGAACCTAGATACTACAGAGATGTCAAGAAAGTTGGCAGATTGTTCCAGTCTCTAGGAGCCTTGCTATTGAGAAGTCCTAAGTTTGTTCAACATTCAAAACAAGTAATATTTTATATGTTGTGTTTCGGGGGATGCTTTCCATATCTTTATATTTACACCTTTAGTTTTTTCCACAGACTTAGGTTTATATGCAAAAAATATGACAAAAAAAATACAAAAGGGGTTGAATTTGGGACCCCTAAGATCTTTTTTAACAATTAAGTACATGCAGTGCTCATGTGCTCATCTACTGACATCTTGTGGCGGAAATAAATAACTACATTCCTGCCATATACTCTTAACATCACCGGACAGCAACTTAGGAATATGTCAAATACATAAATTAAAACTTTCCCTTCAAATAGTAAATCAATTTTGTTATAATAAGCTCAAATGTTTATTAATGGTCATATGTGTGAATAAATCTTTGTGAATGTATTGCACCTGCATCTGTCTTGTTGGCAAGGCAGGGTTCTGCAAGCAACAACCACTGGTCCACATCAGAGTTGACGAAAATTAGTTATTATTCGAATGCAAGTGTCAGGCAGCTCTGCATCCCCTTACCTTGCCTGTATTAATAGCAGCACCATAACCAGTGGAGACACCACAGCCTAGCAGACACACTTTATTCAGCGGTGCATCACTTCTTATCTTTGCAAGTGAGGTATCAGGAACCACAGTGTACTGGGAGAAAGAACTGACACCAAGGAACTGGTATACATGCTGCCCCTTGCAAGAGATCCTGCTTGTGCCATCAGCCAATACACCCAATTGAGTATTTGACCTAAAAGTCACAAACAAAGAAACAATGAGTACTTTAACAGCATGAAAGCAATAGTGTGGACAAATATGGAGTGTGTGTGTGTGCGTTTAAACATGTGGTAATAAAATCACCAGTTTCTCCTGCACAGATTTGTTTTAGGACTCTGACATCGTTCACAGTTCTCACACTGTGGCAGAAAAAGAGGAATAACTTTGTCACCTAAGAAAAACAACAAAAAGCAGACAAACTATTTCAGTATATATAAAGACCAAAAAATGTGTTTGTAGTGAGCTGTGCAATTTACCCGGTGAGAATTTTGTGACTTCTGGACCAATACTCTCCACTACACCTGCTGCTTCATGGCCGAGAACTAGAGGGAATGGTCTAAATTTCATCCCTTTTCCAGTCTCATACAGGTATTCCCAGTCTGTGTGGCACACGCCTGTGGCAACAATCTGTACAAATAGGTTGGTTGCTGATTCATGGAACAGTTTTAAGAAGTGAATGTGGTTGGTACACAAATTTCATTCTAACAGGAAACCAACTGAGACAAAGGAAGTGAAATTTAATAAAAGGTTTTCTGTCAGCATGGTCAAATTGAAAGTAACATCCTCTTGAAATATAGTATTTTCTTGTCAGTGATGGTAATCCAACATTATGCCATTGTTTTTGTTAGTTAATTACATTATATAACATAATATCTGTTTGCACTAGTAGGTTTGCTGTGTCTTCACAGGTGCTTGAATGTACAACTAACGTTGGAAACAAAATGTTCATATTTTCTTGGATTACATAGTCTGGTTGAGCAGCTGACCTTGATGCGGACTTCATGGACCTTAGGGGGAGCCACTTCCACATCCTCAATTGACAGAGTTTTCCCAGGCTCCCATGCAACAGCTGCCTTGCATTTGATCACCTGACAAAGAAAAATACATGTGTTTGTGGAATCACACAGTGCTTTGAGAATGAGCAGAGACGTACTGGCTGGGCGTGGCCTCCGTTTGCGTCTTGGGTCTTGTCTCCAAATCAGAGGCTCAAAATGGGGTTAAACTGGGCGTTGAGCGTCATGAAACAAACACTGAATATATCAGAGATATATGTTTTTTCTTACCTGGCCTGTTGTTGACATTTTTCAGTGATGTTTGCTAATTAAGTTGCCTGCATTTGAACAAAATAAGTATATTATTATTCGAATATTTACACATGTGTAACGTTACACCGCCAAGCCACACAGAGAAAACTTTGTGCCAATGTATGTTAACAATGAAGTTTGTAAAGTCATACTGACCGAGTCTCTTATGCTTGTCTGGATGAGTCACCCAGGAGGGTGTGATCCAAATAAACTGTCTCTCGTATGATGCGTTTAATATACATGCCGCATTTACGACATTTCCCGACACTGGTGGATACCTTTACGGCAGCCTTTGGTCACACGTGTTGTCATCGCATGGGAGTCCCTCGGAGTAAATAGCTGAAGTTGGCCGCGGTCGAATTTGTGAGTAATTTGCTTTAACAGTGTTGCAGACTTTTCAACGTTTGTATTTTGGAGCGAATACATAACTAATTTGTTTGTGTTAGAACATACGGGTGGATTGTGTAGTTCTTTTTATTTATGAAGTGAGCTAGCATGTTAGCTAAGTTGGAACGGCTATTTCTGCTGAATCCATGGTGTGAGCACGTTAAATGCATTTAATTCGCTTCACAGAGTTTATATCACATTCGTAACTGAAGGCCAAACATTAATTCACGTGTTTTATGTTTGTTTTGTTCTGATTTATTTCCTTTCTCTCTTTTTACGTGTTTCTCACACAGAATTTGAAGAAAAATGTCTTTCAGAGGAGGAGGTGGACGAGGTGGTGGAAGAGGGGGAGGATTTAACCGAGGTGGAGGAGGCAGAGGAGGTTATGGAGGAGGCAGAGGAGGATATGGAGGAGGCAGAGGTGGTGGAGGATTCGGCAGAGGTGGTTTTAATAGACAAGACTATGGTCCTCCGGAATATGTTGTCGGTAAGATCATTACATCACAAACGAGTAATGTTGAGAGATGTTGCAGAAACTAACATCGGAGCCTGTGTGTTATTTGATCATCCTGAATAAGTTTAAGGCTTGAGTAATAAAGTGATAATACTAAAGTATAGAGAGGGACAATAATACAGTCAGTAGGGGGGTAACTTGTAAATGCCCGAAACAGTTGGGCCCAATTCCTATGTCAACCCTTAGCCCTAAGCCATAACAGACTTTAAATAATGCCACTTGTGTGTTTAGTGTCACAGGAAAGTTACCATAATTACCAGTTTCTGCTTTGCAAATACCGTTCATGCCAACATCTAAGTTGTAGTCACGACTGTGGGCTGAACAATATGGCCCTGTCTGATGAGCAAACAAGTACACAAGAACTTGGGCCCCTTTGTCATGATGGCTAGAACGCCTTTTGCACAACTAACTGTGACTTCACTGTGTTTTCACTCTGCAGCACTGGGAGAGTTCTTGCATCCATGTGAAGATGACATTGTGTGCAAGTGTACAACAGAGGAAAACAAAGTTCCCTACTTCAACGCTCCAGTGTACTTGGAAAACAAGGAGCAGATTGGGAAGGTGGATGAGATATTCGGCCAGCTACGGGACTTTGTATCCTTTCTGTTGTCTTTATTTCAGTTTCTGTGCCTCTAAAACAACATGTTGTGACCAAAAGTACTGGTCAGCTTCTGGGGGTTAAATATCATTGTTGTTGCTCAAACATCTGTTCCATTCCTTAACCTGTCCTTGCAGTATTTTTCAGTCAAACTTTCTGAAAATATGAAGGCGTCTTCATTTAAGAAACTTCAGAAGGTACAAAAGATGTCTTACATTCTTACAAGTAGTTCATTGGCATACTTAAATGCATTTCAGTGCCTGTGCGTACTACACCGTATGTAATTTACAACGTCTCATTAAGTTCTATATAGATCCAATGAAGCTCCTCCCACTGCAAAGATTCCTCCCCAGGCCACCAGGAGAGAAGGGTCCCCCGAGAGGAGGCAGAGGTGGAGGAAGAGGTGGTGGACGTGGAGGTAAGGCATCCAAACCTTGTCTCATTTGAATTAATCTTGTGTAGAAAAATGTAGAATCTGTAGTTTTTTTCTCCCGCATGGGCACTAAGATTATCTCTCAGCCTTGTTGCCGTTTATCTAAAGTGGAAAAGAAAACTTTCTGCCTATTTACAGCACGTCTTGTAAGATTGGTCTGACTAATTCTGCTTTGCTTTTGTTTATGTTTCAGGGGGTTTTCGAGGTGGCAGGGGTGGAGGCGGCCGTGGTGGAGGATTTGGAGGCGGCCGTGGTGGAGGATTTGGAGGCGGCCGTGGCGGAGGAGGCTTCAGAGGAAGAGGCGGCGGTGGTGGACGTGGATTCAGAGGTTGGTCGCTTTTCAGTGTTCTACAATTTGTTATTGTCCCTCTTCGTACGAAGATACTCATTTTCTTTATTGTTTACTTGTAGGTGGCAAATGATACGACAGTGATGGTCTGGTGTGACTGTCTCATCTCAGTCTTTTGCTACACAAGCAAAACGCTGCATCATATGCCAGTATTTGGCCTGTTGGACTCAGAATATGGACATTGCCTCGATTTGTAGAACTTGAATGCATTTTCTCTTTTTGTTTTATTTTTTATTTTTTTACCAGTTTTGAATGTGTGATGGATCTTGATGATTTTTATTTAAAAGGTTCATATGTATGCTTGTGTGTAACAAGGACCATTTTAGCCTGTTGGGGATTATTGGTTCCTTTTGTGAACAGGCATGTCATTATTCTGTGCTGATTGTAGGACATGACATGTTTGTACTTGTAAATTTCAAGAGATACATTCACAAACCTCCATGTGTTCATTTCCTCAGGGGTGGAAAAATGTGTGGGGAATCGGCCTTTGTATGTTGTTAGTTGAAAATCTTTTAACACACATCATTTGTAAAATCTTGAGCAGAATATTGTCACATTTCTGTCAAAGGTCTCAATTAAAAGGTGCTTTGTAACTGTCTTTTAATTTGAATTTTCATGTCTTAGTAGTGGAGTGCCATCCTGAAGTGGAAGTATGTGTTTTTCTCTGAAATAATGTTATCCTGAATAGGAAAAAACTTGTATTGCAAGTGGCAGAAAGTAGGCAGAGAATATTAAGTTCCCCCTCACTCAAAAATTAGCTCATTTACTTCACTTTGAGGTGAAACCTTTACTGTGCAGAATAATGTATGTATGTGGAAACTTGAAACCTACAGTGCACATACAGTTAGGTCCGAAATATTTGGACAGTAACACAATTTTCAGAATTTTGGCTCTGTATGCCACCACAATGGGTTTGAAATTAAAGAACTGAGATGCAATTGAAGTGCAGACTTTCAGCTTTAATTTATAATATCATGTGAAACATTTTTATACATAGTTCCCTTATTTAGGGGCTCAAATGTAATTGAACAAATTAACATACATAAAATGTTTTTAATACTTTATTGAGAATCCTTGACTGGAATGACTGGAACCCATGGAAATTACCAAACGCTGGGTTTCCTCCTTTGTGATGCTTTGCTAGGCCTTTACTGCAGCCTTCTTTAGCTGTTGTATGTTCGAGGGTCTTTCAGCCTTAAGTTTTGTCTTCAGCAAGTGAAATGGATGTTAGATCGGGTTGAGATCAGGTTACTGACTCGGCCACTGCTGAATATTCCACTTTTTTACCTTATAAGACTCCTGGGCTGCTTTCGCAGAATGTTTTGGGTCATTGTCCATCTGTAAAGTGAAGCGTCGTCCAATCAACTTTGCTGAATTTGGCTGAATCTGAGCAGACAATACATTCCTATACACTTGAGAATTAATCCATCTGCTTCTGTCTTCTGTCACATAATATACAGTGACCCAGTGCCATCACACTTCCTCCACCATGTTTTAGAGAGGATGTGGTATGCTTTGGATCATGAGCGGTTCCAAACCTTCTTCATACTTTTTTCTTCCCATCATTCTGGTAGAGGTAGATCTTAGTTTCATATGTCCAAAGAATGCTGTTCCAGAACTGAGCTGGCTTTTATAGATGTTTTTTGGCAAAGCCTAATCTGGCCTTTCTATTTTTGAGGTTTATGAATGGTTTAGAAGCCTGTGACTTAGATATTGATATTCCTACCTCCTGGAGAGCCTTCATTTGGCTGGATGTTGTAAAGGGGTTTTTCTTTTCCATGGAAAGGATCCTACAATCATCCACCACTGTTGCCTTCCGTGTATATTCAGGTCTTTTGGTGTGGCAATCTCACCAGTGTGTTGTTTTTTCCCCTAGAATGTACCAAACTGTTGATTTGGCCACTCCTAATGTTCCTGCTTTCTCTCTTGATGGATTTTTTAATTTTTTCACTTTAACCGCATGCTGTGCATTCCCAGCAATAGCTTCCAAATGCAAATTCAACTCGAGACCGTTTACCTGCTTAATTAATGAAGTAACGAAGGAGTAGCTCACACCTGTCCATAAAACAGCTTTCGAGGATTGTGACAATTACTTCTGGTCCCTTGAAAAAGAGGGGACTACATATTAAAGATCTCTAATTCCTAAACCCTTCCTCCAATGTGGATGTTAATACCCCCAAATTAAAGGTGCGAGACTACACGTTAAGACCATATTGATTATTTAATTGTAGCTTCAATATGTTTTTATAAACAGCCAAAATAACAAAACTTGTGTCAATGTCCAAATATATATGGAGCTGACTGTATGGATACTGAGACATCTTGTGTCAGGTAGTTGAAATTTTGACATGAACAATAGAAGAAGGAATAGGTTTTAATTTTAACTAGGTTATTTGACCTATTTGTGAAATACAATAGTAATTAAATATTCATCAAATAATTATTTTTATGTCTGCATTGAAATAAACAAAATAGCAAATTTGACTTATTTTTATACAAATCAGTGCAGTAGATATATTGCATTGCACGGGTGGTGAAGGCGCAATGGATAAGACTATGCCTTTGGTGTGGGTTCAATCCCCCATTCTGACCTATCCCCCATTGTGTCCCTGAGCAAGACACTCCTAATTGCTCCAGAGGCGTGCATCAGATAAATGTAAATATATATATACCCTCACCAGTCCATATTAAGAAATGAAGACATCAATTTGGTGTTGTTTGATTTCCACTTAATAGCGGCTTTATCAGTAGACTGAATTAGCTCATTCATTTTGTCTTAAGTACTATTTCCAAGGCCAACAATGTAACGTTATCTGTGTATGAAAAAAATCCTCCGTGCCTACGTCATGCTTACCCTTGTCGTTTCTGATTGGTCTGGGCTTTAACTCCTTTACGGCTGCGTACCGCCCCAACCTCTTGTGCTGAGGACCGAACATGGAGACAGCTGGAAAAGTAAGTATAATTCTGCCAAAATGTGCAAAATATATATTAAATGCATCCTTTCCTTATGTATGTGTCGTAAGGGTGGCATCAGTGTCACTTACAGCATAAAAAATGAGGTTATTACAAGTAACGTGCACGCATTTACTTGCGCTGAATGAACAAGTACAAAGAATCTCTGTTTCATTACTTAACGTTAACAGGGATCTTTGGTCAGTCAGTCGCAAATGGTGGTTGCAAATTGTCGCAACGCGTGCCCCGAGAGAATTGTTATAAGAAAGCGTTTACGACCAGAATGATAAATCTTAGCCACTTCTCATTTAGCTTTACAAATCATAAGGCAACTGATAAAGCTATATTGGGTTATTGTTAAAGCAGGACCTTACTCCCAACAGCGAACTACTGGAACTCGGTTGGCTGTGCGTAAGTTTGAACACAGTCCAAAGGACAACTACACTGCACCTAGCTCGACTTGGCATCACTGTAAAGCCCCAGTCATCACATGGCTGCAGTTACTCAGTTAATTGTAGAAGCAGCGTTTGGGGAAAAAACGTACTGTACTTTGCCTTCAGGTTATCAAGTGCAAAGCAGCTGTTGCCTGGGAACCGGGGAAGCCTCTTTCCATTGAAGAGGTGGAGGTAGCCCCACCTAAGGCCCATGAAGTTCGCATCAAGGTAAACCAAACATTAGCATACCATTGCCACTTTTCTTTGACATGACATGAATGCAACTGATATGAGTCCTGCCTAAAAGTTTAGAAGAACAATTCAGTAAAGATGCTCTTTCCGGATCCTATCTAGTTTTTGTATTCTTTTTTTATCAGCATGACAAGTAGAAAAGGGAATCTACAATCTCCTCTGGAAGAATCACACCTAGCCCAAAGTTTAAAGCTTTAGAAACAGACTCGTATGACTTCGATGTGTCATAACTGAGGAATGCCCTAGTTAGACATAAATTAAAATAATGTTAATATCAGGCCTAACGGCTTACGTTTTCCTGTCTTGCATCTAGCAACATGACATGAACTTTAAATGACCCTGTGCCTGTCAGATTTTTGCTACAGGGGTGTGTCATACAGATGCCTACACTCTGAGTGGCAGTGACCCTGAAGGACTTTTCCCTGTCATCTTGGGCCACGAAGGTGCTGGAACAGTTGAGAGCATTGGTGAGGGCGTCACCAAATTCAAGCCAGGTACGGAGCTGCCAGACAAGATATTGTGTTTTGAATAAGTATGTCTTATGTCGTATGATTTTTAATTGTATACAATTCTTTTTCACCAAGGTGATACTGTCGTCCCATTGTATGTGCCCCAGTGTGGTGAATGCAAATTCTGCAAAAACCCCAAGACCAACCTTTGCCAGAAAATTAGGTAATGCTGTAAGACAAATTTATGCAACCTTGAGTTGGTGAAGCTTGTCTGTTTTTAGCGATAATACCGAACAAGAAAATGTCTTTTTTTTGCAACCTCAATCGTGGAACTCAGAGCCTCAGGTTCCCCACCTCAGGGCAACCAAATCAAAGTGCAGTCATCATCAGTTTGAGCTTGCGTCGTACAAAGCAATTGAATTTCATCATACATTCATGAAAAAAAATCATCTTTTCCCTGTCCTTCCACCCTGCAGAGTAACCCAGGGTCAGGGCCTACTCCCCGACAACACATCACGCTTCACTTGCAAGGGAAAGCAAGTGTTTCACTTCATGGGGACCAGCACCTTCTCGGAGTACACTGTAGTGGCTGACATCTCTCTGGCCAAGGTGAACGAGAAAGCTCCACTGGATAAAGTGTGCCTTCTTGGATGTGGCATCTCTACAGGTTATGGTGCTGCTCTTAACACTGCCAAGGTGGGTACCACAGCATGAGATTGCCTGCTTACAAAAAAGAAGCACAAGTACAAGTTTATTTCTAAAGTGAGGTAACTGCCGTTGGAAAATTGTGACACAGTGTATTATTTAAAGCTCGTTATGCAGAACAAGTTTGCCCAAAGGACACAATGAAAAGAGATGAACACTTTGTTTGCAGGTTTTACTCTGAAGTGGGTCACCCACATTAATTATGCAGATTTGATGTGAAAATGAATTGTTGCCATGGGGTCTGTTTCCAAGTTGTTGTTTTTTCTTATTTTCATAGTGACATTATTTTGAACCATCTATTTTTTAGGTGTTTGTTGTAATTATTTTTTATTTATTAGTGGGAAAAAGATTGGTATATTTTACAGAAAGCATGACATAGGACCACACAGTTATGATGTATGTTTCCATGTTTTTCTCCTTTTTTTTCTCCCTGGTACTTGCATCCATCAAAAAGAGAGAAATTGCAATATAGCACCATATTAAAAAGTAAGCCAATCCAGCTTTGATGTTTGTAAAAACAAATATCTTAAATAGGCTACATCAGTCAAACAACTTTAGGGTTCATACATAGATTCACTATATGCAAAATTATTAAGTAATGCTTTCATTTTCATAGTGCTCTTCTTCAACATTCACATCCTCAGGTTGAGCCTGGTTCCACTTGTGCTGTATTTGGCCTTGGAGCTGTTGGCTTGGCTGTTATTATGGGATGTAAGGTTGCTGGGGCAACCAGGATCATTGGTGTGGACATCAACCTTGCAAAGTTTGAGAAAGCTAAGGAGTTTGGCGCCACTGAGTGTGTGAACCCCAAGGACCACAGCAAGCCCATTCAGGAGGTTCTGGTGGAGATGACTGACGGGGGTGTGGACTATTCTTTTGAGTGCATTGGAAACGTGCAAATCATGGTGAGATTTACTTTGTGTTCAAAATGTATTTTGAACTTTCTGGACATCATATAGAAATGGAAGTAAGCAACATATAAAACATTTACAGTAACTGTGTTCATTTATCATTCTGGTTGGTTTTAGATGTACATGGTAGAGCTGGTATACATAGTGTTCAGTGTACTCAAAAGGTAGCACAAAAAACAGTTTTCATAAGTTGGCAATTCATAGAAACCAGGAAAAGTACCATTGTATTATTTCAGAGAGCTGCTCTGGAGGCATGCCATAAAGGATGGGGGGAAAGTGTCATCATTGGTGTAGCCGGAGCTGGACAGGAGATCTCGACCAGACCATTCCAGCTGGTGACAGGCCGAGTGTGGAGGGGCACAGCCTTTGGAGGTGACTGACTGTGTTAGAGAATTAATTGCAAACTCCAAATTTCTGCGAGTTCAAACCTTTTGCGCACTTTAATTATGGGTAATTAAGCCTTTTAGGATCCACTTTATTAGGTAAAGGTTTTAGCTGAGAAAGACCAAAAGATAACAAATTACTTTCTAATGAAAATATCTGTATTTGTAAGTCTTTTTTTAGCATTTAGGTAGTCATGGAACAACTGTAGAAGGCATGCTGTTTTTATAACACTAAGTTGAGCATATAAAATACTGTAATTTATCATAATTTGTCGTTTTAAATAATTATCTGTTATCTCTCCCCTCTTTTTGGTTGGGGAAGAGGCACCTTGCCCTAGTATTTTTACCTTGCCCTTTCAAACTGTTTGGCTTTGGCTAAATGAAAATTCCAGTTAAACTAGTTTTGATATTAACTCTCAGGCTGGAAGAGTGTGGAGAGCGTTCCTAAACTGGTGGAAGACTACATGAATAAGAAGCTGAAGGTGGATGAGTTTGTGACCCACACTCTGCCCTTTGAAAAGATCAATGAGGGATTTGACCTCATGCATGCTGGAAAGAGGTGAGAAGATTGTGCAGTTAGTGCATAAAATTGTGTTTGCTGTTGTTTTTCTACTTTGTAAAGCCCCCTTCACTTTTTGCTGTCTGTAACTTTTGGTGTTGACTCTAGCTTTTTATGTCCTACCTAATTATTTTGTTTTTTCTCATTGCAGCATCCGCACAGTGCTAACCTTCTGAGGTGCCTGAAACATTAACATCCTTCACATCCGGCCTTTAAACAGTCTCCTTCCATAGTTGCAGCACTTAATGTATTGCACTTGTTTTGTTGACGTAAGTTTCAGTATTAGAAAATCATTTAACAGCAGAATATCAGTTTGAAACAAAGTCATAAAATTTTTTTGAAAATGCATTTATTCTCTGATTTTCCATTTGTTGCTTATTTACTGACTGGTGTGATGTTTTATAAGAAAACATTACATTTATACATAAATGCATTTGGCTGCTGTTCATATAAAGATCATTCAACAATGGGTCTCTTTCAGCCTCATTTAGTCAGCCTTAGTTCATAATAATTTTATTTTTTATTTAATTTAACAGTTCATACTTAATAATCGACAACACCTATCATTTCCTTTTGGTAAGACAATCACAGACTGAGAAAGCATACCACATCCTGAAAGGAACACAAGCTTAATCCTGAGTAAAAGATAACTGTAATCACATGATCAGAAGTATTTGCTGTTAATTTCCTGTGTGTTTCCTGCCCAGATGAACATGTTTTATCAGTGCACATTCCTGCTAAGCCTGCACATTGTCGTGTGCAATATTCATGGTTATAATATACTAAGTATAATATACTTCAAGAAGGGTGGGAAACTATTTTTTGCAAAATTACCCCAATATGCAGTACAGTAATGAAGCTCATTTTAATGTTTGTGCTGCCTGCACTCCAAACTAGACTCCTACATACAGATGATGTGCAATCCAAGACAAGCAGTTACATAACAAATCAATGTATTTTGCACAAATGTACTACCACAGGGACTTTTTAATGTTTCATCTCTATTGTACATTTTTAAAAAGTGACTTGTCTGTTTGAGGGGATGTCCTAATTTTGTATCTCCTGTGATTACCTTGTAGACTTATTTTGATAAGGACTATATAAAGAAACCTAATATCCTGGCATTGCAGGATTCCCCTTTGCTCTGTGGGTCACCCTGCCACCCATACAACATGTCAACGCCTTGACATTTATGTTGACAGTAACACATTGACATCACCATCAGCAATATTGCTAAAGCATATTTCTCTAGTCAACAGGCTTTGTAAACCCCCTTGTGACCACCTTATCTTGACAAACTCAGTTTTATTGTTCTGTATACACAGCATTTTTACTGATCACGTCTTTTCTTATATGGTTTGTAAATACAGCAGGAGAATGGTCACATTATACTACTTGAAGTACATATATGGCACAATTCTCCACTAATATCTGATCTATTCTTTTTACTTCAAAGACAATTGATTGCACTACTACCTCAGATACATTTGGAATGTTTTATAATCCAGCCATGGTGCATATTCTCAATAATTGAAGGAGGATGACTTGTGACCCACACCCTGAATCAACATGTTTTTTTCTCCCCAAAATCTTTATTTGGTTCACAACAAATAACAGCAGGAAGAGGAACATACTATGAAGTGGCTATATAAAAATGTAGGTAAGTTAAATGAAAACATAAAGGTAAAGAAAAATAAGGTGCAATAAATAAAGTAATGGCATAATACTTAAGGCAGTATAAACATTATATTTCTATAGATAGTTCCTGTAACATATTAATTGTATAAGCACATTTATTATCATTTATAAATCCCTGGATCAACATGTACCTTTTGTCCTTCTTGCGCATGCGTTGTATAGAGTACCAGATGGCCCAATCAGCTATTTTAACACGCTAAAAAACTGAATGTGATTTCCAGAAGATGGCGACCGCTCTGGTGGTGAGTGTAGTACAACAAACTGGGCTTCCATTCCACAAGCCATGCTTTTATCCACTGTTAAAACACAGCGACGGTGTTTAATACAGTTTTAATTCTTTAAACTTCCTGTTATTACCTTTGACAGGTGACAGAACTCGCTAGCCAATTAAGTTAGCAGCACACTAGGTTAACACTGACGTTAGTCACTTTTTATTTAACATTATTCTTTAACGTTAACGTTCGTATGGACGTTGATTTTAGTCACAATAACTGCTACCGAAGTGCAACGTTAACTTAATCAACGCAGGGACACCGGGTTAAAACGCACTGCTGACCGAGTGGATATCTTAGTCGGTAAACCTGCGATGAACTTGTATGAATGAGAGGACGCACGCCTCGCTAACATTAACTTACTCTGTCAACAGTGATGTGTTCCTTGTCTTAGAGGTAACACAGACAGCTAAGTTAGCTAAATGTTTGTAATGGGCATTATGAACAAAGTAATTATAGTAAACAAAGTAATTATAGTCGTAAAACGGTAAACTTGCTATATTGCTATGCTATATTTTTTTGAAGACATCTCCCAAGTCCTCTACAAGTACACCTTCATTTTGAGTTGACGTTATTCTACTCACTGCTGGATTAATATTATGAAGGATGGTTCTTTTAGCCCCCGTTACGTTTGGTAGATGGAAAGGGGTGGGACATTCAGGCAATTGTACATGTAAGAAGAGCAAAAGTGAAAATTTATTTAACATTCGTCGCAGGGACAAGGACATTCCACCCTCATACACATACCTACCACACAAAGTGTCTCATCTATGACTATAAAATAAAATAAGAACTTTGTTTTTATTATTTCCTAGGTGTCAACCTCAGTTCCTGCAAAACCTGAAAAAGAAAAATGCGAAACAACCATTTCAAATGTTGCAAGTCCTGAATCATACATCAAGCATCCGTTACAAAACAGGTAAGACCACGGCTATATTGCCATCTATTCATTCTTAAACCCAACAAAGCCAAGAAGTTATAATTACATTTGCAGAAAATTTTGCTAACAAGTAGGCCTACATCAGTACAGTCTAGAATTTAGAAGGACCGGGACATTAAAGTTAATTTCTGCCAATTAGTACTTAATGGCCATGTGGCATTGCTGTAATCAGTCAAGATACTGAAAGGTGGCTATGATTTGAGCAGGTATTTTGCATCCTAATATTGGATACAGTTGTTTCATTGGATAATTTGTGCATCTTGTCTAGTAAAACAAGTTGTTAATGAGCAACATGACAGATGAGGGAACACACACAGGTTGTCTATAGTAACTGTTCTTTGATTTGCAGGTGGGCTCTTTGGTTTTTCAAGAATGACAAAAGCAAAACATGGCAGGCCAACCTTCGTCTCATCTCCAAATTTGACACTGTAGAAGACTTCTGGGCGTAAGTATATTATATTATTGCTATATAGCCTACTGTACAAAATTGATTCATCCATCCAGGTATTATATAATATGTCAGCTTAATTCAGCTTAATTTGTATGTTGCTGAACATAAAATATCCTTTTTCCTTCCCAGATTATACAATCACATTCAACTATCAAGTAACTTGATGTCTGGCTGTGACTACTCGCTGTTTAAGGTAGAACTGCTTTAATCACGGTCTTTTGACATAGTACAATATACACACTTCAAATTGGATTTTCTTTGCTTCCACTGTTAATAGGTATTCACTATATTTAGGGGGACTGGACAGGGGTATAGTTTCAGTTTGTCAAAGCCTGTAGGATCAGGTGCACTTGTTCAGGACCATTTTAATTCTGGTCCATTTAGAGCACACAATCTTATTATAAAGGAACCGAGAGTATTAAACCTCAAGTCCCATGGTCTGATGGATAATTCACACATTTGAGTTTTGCTGACTTGTGATTCTCCATCATCAGTGATACATGTACCCATAGGGTGGGGGAACACAGTGTATTTGAGATATTAGCAGCAAGTCTGGCTGCACTTCACTGCACTTTACTTATCTGAGGCAACAACAAGGCTTATGAAAGGGGTTCAGTCAAGACTGAAACATAAATAATCTTGGAAAGTTAGAAACAGAATGGAAAGCTGGCAAATCGTACTGCAATATGATGAGATATCGTTGCTACTTAAGATTTACTCATTGTTTATAAGGGATTGCTGCAGTACCTTGTAGGAAAATCCTTGCATTTACATGCTGACATGGTTACCAAATGCATATCTAACTAGACAAGAGATGTTTCTTGAGAGTTGCCATGATCAGCAGATGATTCGTCTTTAGTTCAGCTTTTGAATTCAAGTGTCACGTCCAGGCTGTCTTGTTGCATTCTCAAAGAACTGAAGGGAAAACGCTGGCTTGCAGGTAGACATCAAAAGAGAGCGGAGCAAGCTACATCCCTGTAACTCTGATGCAGTCTTTTGATATGTGATCGTCTTCATTTTAATTAAAATACAGCGTTTTGTTCGTATTGCTTTCTTCAGAATCCATGGCATTCTGACCACACTATTCTCACCACAAACTCTCTAAAGTTAGCATGGAAGTATGATTAAAATATGATTGAGGCACATCAGAGTTTTATTTGCATCTTAACTGCTAAATGTACCACATGGTGTTAAAACCTAACCAGACAAGTTAGACGTAAACACATCCTGAGGACAGACACCTTAATTCACCACACCCAGATTAACAGAGCACAATGTTGTTGGTGGTTTACTTATCTGGTGCTGCTTGGGAAGTCATATTTGCAGAGTACAAGACTCTTTTTTTTTTTTTTTTTTTTTTTTTTTTTTTTTTGTTCCTGCATGGAAACTTTGTAGCACAAAACATGTTTAGAGAATTCAGTTGGCAATAACTTCCTGAAAAGCACATCTAAGTTTTGGGGTGGGGGGTTTCTGTTTCTTATAATGGTCAATAATTAGATTTACTTCCTTTTGAACCATGAAAGCATTGAAACCACTGCCAAGCTGTGGCTTAGTGGCCTATTTGCACTAATGTTACTGTATTTGTAAACGGCACAATACTGTTTTTAGGTTTAAACTCAATTTAATTTTGAACTACAGTAAGATGGTTTTTTTTTTTTTTATGTAGTATAAACTATTTTAATTAAGCACACTACAGTAACTGAATTTGTACAGTAATTTGAAAAGTGGTATTCTTGAAACAGTTTATGAAATTCAGTATATAGCGAAGCTGTCCATTTTATATTTATATAATGTACAAATGTCAATTAGATGGTAATCTGCATGAGAAATAAAGAAAAGGAGAAATGATTTATTATAATCATCCACCTAAAGTGAAGCTGATAAATTAAAGCCTTTTATTTATTAATCATATGTTGGGATATTTGTGTTGTCTGACCTTTTTATTTGGATCCAGGATGGGATTGAGCCAATGTGGGAGGATGAGCGGAATCGACGAGGTGGCCGCTGGCTGATAACACTGTCCAAGCAGCAGCGCAGATCAGACCTGGATCGGTTCTGGTTGGAGACGGTATGCTCAGTCCTGTCGAGGACTGGTTAGTTTAACTAGTCTTATCTTGTAGGCCTTTTCCAGCGAAGACGTCGCATCAAAGCAGAACCCTTGAATAGAACTGAGCCATTGTTAATGTTAGTAACACCTGTGCTTTCCTTCTGTGAAAGGTCAGTGTTTGCTGTGGGTAAAAAGCCCATCAGCTAGTAACTTGAAAAGGAACTGCTCCCCAATAACAAGGTAATTGGAAATAACTGTTTTTCCTGCAGCTCTTGTGTCTTGTGGGTGAAGCTTTTGATGACCACAGTGATGATGTGTGTGGAGCAGTCATTAACGTCCGAGCCAAAGGAGATAAAATAGCAGTATGGACCACAGACTACGAAAACAAAGAGGCCATCACACACATAGGGTAACATGAAGTAGTCACAATTATTGATGACAAATAGATGTCAAAAAGAAATCAACAATACATTAAATCATAGTAAAGGGAATATTTTTCCTTTTATACTTGTTAATATGCAACACCTGTTTGTTCTTCCTGTCCCTTTTTGTTTGTCTTTTAGGCGTGTGTATAAAGAGAGATTGGGCGTTCCACCAAAAGTGATCATCGGATACCAGTCACATGCAGACACGGCCACAAAGAGTGGTTCCACAACCAAGAACAAGTTTGTTGCCTGAGGACCGTAAACCAGAATCTTCAACCATGTTTCCGTGTTTTCTTTTGTTCCCAGCATATATTTTCTGTACTTTTTCCATGAATGTAGCGGACATGTTTATCCACGAACAAACATTAGAAGTGGAGATAAAATTGCTTTGTTTTTGTGTTGCTTATTTGTTGCTACTTTACCAAAGCTTTTGTTTATGGTGATAGTATGTGAAGTTAAAATGTAGCACTTTTATTTGAGAACTTTATTGTGGTGGTGGGTCTAAGATGAGTAAAAGATGTGTTAATGCCCTGATTTCATTTATAAATGCAGTTTGTGGAGAATTTATTTCATTTTTCCAGGTGTGTGTGTGTGTGTGTGTGAACAATTTTTGTCTTAAAGTACATAACATTAAAGGCAGTAAAATATTTTCTACTTCAGTATAAACTGTAGCTTTTTGTTAGCACTGCACATGTCACTCAGTCAGTCTACAGTATAAATGTAGTGCTATATTGCACATTTAGTTGCACAGTGGAATTTTTAACCATACATTGTGATTTAACCCACATATTCTGAACTTGAACTGAACCAACAAATTGATAGGGGGGGGGATATATTAAACTGGTTTTCATGTAGTCAAAGAACGTTTTGCCATCTTTATGCAGTTGTTTTTTCAATTTGACAAATTAGTTATTTTATTGCCAGTGTTGGAAATGGGTCTTAGTTTGAACTGTTTCATTTCTTGTCAAGCAGCTTGTGCAATACATGAAGAGTTAAAACCATATGTTCAAAGATACTTACGTTGCTTCATTATTGTCTAAATATTTTCAAGTTGACTTCTTTGACACTCGAGTATAAACTTCAGATTTCCCATCAAAATCCAGCAGGACGCATGGGTAATCCCATGTGGTACCTCAGATTTATTACTGAGCAAATGTAATTTATAAATGCTAGAGTTTTGCATTTCAGAGCACTGAAAGGTCAGTGATGAAAATTGCATTTTGTATCACAGTATGTCTTCAATGAGGATATTTTCCAAATGTAAATTTTGCCGTCTATTTCTTTGCTTGCACAAGCCATTGGACAGGGTAAAATGTTGAGTTAAAAAGTTTACATAATTAAGTTATTTTTTTCCACTGCAGTTTACATAGTAGGATTATTTCCTTTCCAGATTTTGTTTTGTATGTGGAATAACTGACTTGAAAAAGACATCCTGCCCCCATTTTTTGAGCAGTAAATTAAAGGAGTGATGTAAAAAAAATATGTACAGTGAAGTGTGTTCTCTGAAAATGTGTTTTAATTAGGAACTGATTATATTGACTGTTAAATGATAATTGCATGCTATGTGTTTGATTTGGAAAAAAATCCATCTTGGCAGTGGTTTAGAGACAGAAAAGTCCTTTTATGCAATTTTGGAAACCAAATATGGAAAAGTATTTGCTTTTCTTTGTACCAACAAAGCTGAGGGGAATGATCTTAAGTAATCTATGGCATTTACTATTGCCAAGAGACAAGAGACACACCTGTTAATCTTCTCTTATTGTTAGACTGACATTGTAGTTAAGTTGGTATTCAGCCTAATGTTTGCTTTCTGACTATTTAAGGTAGATAAATAGATTTCTGTTGTAGCTGTAGCTACAGTAATTTATGTCTCAGTTGGTCTTCATCTTTATTAGGCTATATTGCAGTTGGACTCAAATGGGCTTTAAGTAATCTATGACTTCCATTGACTGCTACTTGAGAGCGACACAGCCTCTCCCGTTCCTTTCAAATAAGCTTCCCTTTAATTGACACAATCAATCAAGGCACATTTTCACGCAAGAGACAACTAAGAGGAAATTAGAAGAGAGATCCACAGAAATGTCTCAAGAAGTTGAAAGGTGAGGTGTTTAACCCGTGATGAAATACAACATGTAGCCTTTGTTGAAAGCTTTGGAGCCTAGTCTTTAGTTGTTTTTCTGCTGCTAACTGAAATCACTACTTGCAAGTTTTGAACATCTTAAGATAATTGAACAGTTTACTTGGGTCTAACTCTGCAAACTGTGGGAAGAAACTATGGTAGATATAACACAAGACAATGCAATTCTAGATGCTATTTGACAACTACCCAGAGTCCAAGCCCAGATGGTTGCCTAGCTGATTTACTGTCACTCAAGATGACTGATGTGGTCTAACTCAGGAGAAGCTCCCTGCCACAATGACACTGGCACTTTAAGGCTTAAAAAATAAAGACATAGCGATAGTAATGCCTTTGTTGAACAAAGATGCAAAATGTCTGACTAACAAACTCTTCACTAAAAAGGTTGACTGAGGTCTATCCTAGTTCCATTCAGGTTGGCTTTATTCAGCAAATTAACTCCACAGATAACATAAAATTAGTTTTGACTCAATTTCTAAGAAAGTCCCTGATGGAGGTAATACAGGTTTTTTTTCAATTCATGATTGTGTCAAAGAGGTTTGAAGGTGTACTATATGCAAAGGCTTACTACTTTATATTTGTAATGCGATTCAAGCCATTATGATGGTTGGATGCAGACAGCACTGTGATCAGCCGGAGACAATATGGCAAAGACATGACTAAATATTTCTTAGTCATAGCAGCAAGCTCAGATTCCTTAAGTTTTAATTTCCTTTGATTTATTTGCCATTTTTCAGTAATAAACTTAGCGTTATCTTAAAGTTACCTAATATACCTCCTCTGTGTGTTTATATGTAAAGATGAATTGGTACTGGGCAATTCATTAACAAATGGCAAACTATAAATACAATCCAACATTGTGTGGATATTTGAAGAGCAGTAAACCTTGCCTGGTGGATTTATTTTTGCTGGTATTTTTATTCTGCTGTTACTCAACTCACTGCAGGTACAGTAAATCCTTCAGGCCTCAGATGTTTTCAGATGTCCTCCTGGTACAGGTCAGTGAGATTATTTGTCCATTTATTGTATGGAGGTGTGTGTGTGTTATATAAAATGATTATGTGTCAGAATTCTGCTGTAAAGTCTTAATTACAGTAAGTAGCCTTGGGTTCACTGCCCATCTAATCTTAGAGAAGGCATCTGTTTTATCAGCATGTTGCAGGAAGCAAAGCCCAGGTTCTTAGGATATTCTGTATATGAAATGTTTTTTTCCCCACATGTGCATGCTAAGTGAGTTATAATAGGCTGACATGCATGCATTACCTTACACAGCATACACCCTTATATAACTAATGTACATCTTATTCCAAAACCCACAGGCATTAGTAGGCTTACATAACAGCCTTTACTCCCCTGATTTCAGGCTTTACACAAGATTTTGGAACCTGACCGCAGGAATTTGCTCCCATTCAGCCACAAGAACATTACTATAGTCAGGAACTCATGTTGGGCGATAAGGCCTGGCTCGCAGTCTGCATTTTGAATTCATCCCAAAGGCGTTGGATGGTTGAGGTCAGAGCTCTCTGTGGACCATTCAATTTCTTTCACAACAAACTTGGAAAGCCAACTTTTTTTCTATCTATGTATCTGTCTCTATCTATCTGTTCCTTTTCATAAATTGTCCACTGGGAGGCAGTATAGCTTCATGCTTAACTCCAGCCTCCAATCTTGCAATCCTCCACAAATGTTTTGGGGAAATTGGGATTCCACTGACTGTGTCTGCACACACTAGGGAAAGAGGATATCTGTAAATAGCAGCTGGGTCTTATTTATTTATATACCCGCCTACCTTCCACAATAAATATAAATAAATAAATCCACATTAAATTCCCCCCCTATTGCCGTAGGCCACTGTCAACTTCCTGCTCAACAGCCCCTGTACAGCACATAAAAGGGGACAAGGAGAGTCAAGCCATGCACCCTTGACTTGACTGATGTTTTTGTACCACCTCCTATGCACAAGTGGAGTCTCAACCCATTGACATGACGCCACTTTGGATGAGGCTCCAGCATAAGAGGTTAGGAGATAGTCCCTTGCATCTGCAGGAGGGGCTGATTCTCTCTGTGTTTCATGACAGAAATGTCACTAAACTATTCCTCGTTCGCAGTACCTTACCAGAGGCTGCTTCTGAAGACTCTCAGCTAGGGTCAGTAGGTAGGCGCTCTTCTTTCTGTCTAAATCAGAGGAGTCCTTTAATTTGCCAAGTAGTATATAGGGCTTCACATCACCCATACACATACCTGTGTGAAGAAACACAAAGTTCACACTCATATACTGTACTCTAATAATCAGTCTCTATGGTCCACTGCAGCATATGTTATTAACACAAAATCTGGATTTTGACTTCTGGTGACCTTCGACATGTGAGTCTAAAAATCCAAACAAAATCTGAATTACATGCCAATAACTGAAAATGTAAGCAGTTCTGAATCATGCTTTTAAAACAGTTATATATCTATTTTAATATTCAGGATTTTAATTGGGAAAAGGCTGAGTCTAGTGTGCATGTAATGAACTGTGAAATGATTTAGGGATGAAAACATCTAATTTGGAACAGTGTGACAGTGAACTTCTTGTTCCCCGTGTTTGTCTTCTGTTTAAACATCCTTTGTTATGTAAATCACTTTGTGACAAACATGTTTGATAGAAAAGGTTTTGTAAATAAATGTAACTTTTCTTTACTCACTGGAGATGGAAAGGCTGTAGAGCTAAACACAGCCAACACTGGGATGACTAGCTCATATATACACTCATAATTGCTTCAAACAGAGCCATGTTCAAATATTCAGAAGACACATTCATTCAAGTACTTATCAATGCTCACTTCATTGTTACTTTTGCCAAGGAGGTTATGTCTTGCAATTTATCACAAAAATGTAAAACTGGATTTCCATGGAATATGATGGACAGACAAGTTTTAACCTAAGGCACATATGGTGATTTATTAGTTATTGCTTTATACTATTTGCCAAAACAGAGATAGAGAATCTGACAATTCTTGGTCACAAACGCTGGATATTATTTTATCACAATGTGTTAAAACAGGGTAAAATTTGCCATGTTGTCTCACAGATTTGACTGCAAAAAGCTGCCTGTACCCTGCCCCCCCCCAAAAATACACAGTGCTTGCAAAATGACATTGCTCAATGAAGTGAACAACCACTGTATGCTAATTTATTTAGCAGTTCACTGAGTTGTATTGTGAGAGTACAGTATGCTTGTCCTCAATTCGCCGCCCTCTACTATGGTGATGTAATCTTCACACTTTATTATGTACACCTGTTCAATTGCTTGTCAACACAAATAGCTTATCAGTCAATCACATGGCAGCAACTCAGTATTTGTCATGTAGACGTGGTCAAGATAACTTGCAAGTTCAAACCGAGCATCAGAATGGGGGAGAAAAGGGATTTAAGTGACTTTGAACGTGGCATGGTTGCAAGTGCCAGACGGGCTGGTCTGAGTATTTCAGAAACTTCTGATCTACTGTGACACCTGGTGTGAACACCACACCAGGTGCCACTCCTGTCAGCTAGGAACAAGAAACTGAGGGTAAAATTCACACAGGCTCACCAAAATTGGACAACAGAAGACTGCAAAAACGTTGCCTGGTCTGATGAGTCTCGATTTCAGCTGTTCAGATGGTAGGATCAGGATTTGCCGTAAACAACATGAAAACATGGATCCATCCTGTCTTGTATCAACAGTTCAAGCTGGTGGTGGTGTAATGAAGTGGGGATATTTTCTTGACACACTTTGGGCGCCTTCGTACCAATTGAGGATTGTTTAAACACGACCTGAGTATTGTTGCTGACCATGTGCGTCCTTTTATGACCACAGGGTACCCATCTTCTGATGGCTACATCCAGCTGTATAATGCACCATGTCACAAATCTCAAATCATCTCAAACTGGTTTCTTGAACATGACAATGAGTTCACAGTACTCCAATGGCCTCCACAGTCACCAGATCTCAATCCAATAGAGCACATTTGGGATGTGGTTGAACGCGAGATTCGCCTCATAGATGTGCAACTGATAAATCTGCAGCAACTGCGTGATGCTATCATGTCAATATGGATCAAAGTCTCTGAGGAATGTCACCAAAAAAGGGGGTCCAACCAGGTACTAGCAAGGTGTACCTAATAAAGTGGCCAGTGAGTGTAAAGTGTGGACAGTTATAAGATGATTTGCCATTACTGTACATATATTTGAATAGCTCAACAAACCATTTTTGGTAGAAGGTGTATTTTTTTATGTACCACTGCTTGCCCAGGCAGTTGCATTGATTTAAAAATGCATTTGTTTAGAGTGTTGCCCAAGAAAGCAGCTTCATAATCAGC